CTTAACATTAGTGGAGTACGAGTTGATGTACATTGATTAATATGTCAAATATAACTGTATGTATTTGTTTGTGAATGTTTTTACGTCGTCTGTTTTAGAGCCGTCTGGAGTTATTTCTTTCAGCCGTCAGGCCGTCACAGATATCCCTCGTTGGGCTAGGTCTGATAAACGCCTCCGGGCCCTTCACGTCACGTCTCGCGAAACGATAGAAGACTACGGCGTCGGCTTTGCACAGGTGTTTTGAGAGTTAATGCTTCACGATCCTAAAATTGTCGCGTTCAATGATCATAGTAGTGAAAATTTATTTGAGTAATATTTCATCGATGGTTGTGGAACTGCATTTTGACCTTATCTGCTGGTCAAACATTGGGTGAACACCTTCAAGTGGCGTAGTTGAATTAGGCGAAACCGATTAAGACTGAGCGATGTAGTTTACCCTGCTTTTCGAGCTACTTGTCGTCTGTTGTTATTTCACTGACTGTTTTTAATCCTCCTTCGCCAACCCTCACCCTCCTTGTTCAGTTTATCGATACGACAGAATTCAGTATAGGCAACTGTCAAAGAGTAATCATTCTCTACACAATGCTGCACTTAATAAAGTAATGAAAGAATGACTAATTTTTTTTAAGAGCTATCAGTGGGACATAGATGTTTCTTCACTTCTCCAGCCCAGTTCATTCTCGTTTTCCTTCTTATCATAATGTGCTATTTTTTCAGCTAATCTAGTTTCCTTACTAAGATATGAATTTTCTGTTTTTTTAGTTAAGCATCTCCTCTTTCCCTATTTTCATATATAAATTATGCAGTTGAATGATGACCCGAATCACTTAAAAATGTTCTGTTAGAATATGTCGTCTGTCGTTAAGTGTTCTGTTTTGCTGACATACCATTTTTTCAGGTAGATTTCGCGAACGCGTGTATCGGCGGTGGCGTGTTAGATCTTGGCTGTGTTCAGGAAGAGATCCGTTTTTTGATTTGCCCTGAGCTGATTGTCTCAAGACTCTTCACAGAATGCCTGCAGGAAAACGAATGTCTTATCATTTCAGGTAATAATGACTTTTCTCTTCCCTGCTTAACAGTATGAAATGTTAATTAATAGCAAAATTGTTCTTGTTCATTTACGACGTTATTCCAATTGTATGACGGTAATGTAGGCCGGATGGAAGTGATTGCACAGCCGTTGGGTTGCCTATGGTAGGAGAAGGTAATTAAGCGTGCAACTACTCAACGGTATTACCCTAATGCATAGAACGTGAGATTGCGTCACTAAGTCAGAACACGCCATCTCGTTGTTGGAAGAGGGGAACAAAATGAATGCCCTCTCTGCGTTGTGAACGGTGTATATAACATGTGGATTTCTGTCCTGTGTTTCATTAAATGGTTCTGTGAACCATTGTACAAGTGCTGAGTACAACTCTTCTCCTCATGGGAGCGCTTACTGATATTCTATAACACGCGTTTTCAATTTGCTCGTCGTTATTCGTACATAAAACCTGTTGTGTGCTAGCAGTACTATGGCACAGTGACAATGCTCAGTGTAGCATAGAGTTGTATTGTTTTGATTTCGACTCTTGATATTTTTCCAAGTTGTTTAACCTGCTGTATATATTATTATCTTAATTATCTAAATATTGAATGCTGGTTATTTTTTCATTCCGTCTTGATTATGATGAAAAATCGGATTTGCTTTGACCTCTGTCAAGTTGTCTCGGCATTGTATTTTCTAAACCACTCACCTAAATTCAAGTTAAATTCGTCTAAACTTTATGTACAGGATTAGCGTTTATCGTTTCTTCTAAATATCCTTTAAAATGGCGATGTTGATGGATGATAGGTTAAAGGAGCAGTTAGTTTAATCTGCCGTGTTTTTGTGATTATCTTAAGATTTT